ATGCAGTCATCTCTCACAAACTTCCCCCTTGGATCTCCGAATACTATTCTACATACTGCCAGATCCTTAACTGCAAATGAGCACAACCACAGTCAATGTTTTGCACTCATTCTTCTCAGCCACGATTTCGGAATCAGCTATCATTCCACGACTCCTTTGATCAAGCAGATGCGCTGTCAAGGCGTATCAACTCTAAAAGACCAGAGTCCTAAGAAAGCGTCGTTGCTTCTATAGCAATGGAACCAGACATCAAATTCCTCGTTACCGGATGCTTCTCACAATACGCTTGTGATAGCTGAAGAAGTTTTAGAAGAAACTCCACGATACACTGCTCAATGTCACACAATTCTTCCGCACGATTTGGCCAAAACCATACCATTCCGACGATTTGTGTGTATTCTTCTAACAGAAAGTCTCATTATCGGTTGTGAACGGGTGCATTTAGTTCGGAAAAGGAGTCACGATTTCGAGAAATCTACAGAAAAAGGTGCTGCACAAATTCCACATGGCACCCTCCCTCCCCGGGGAATAAACCGTGTGGAAACCTTCATCCGTAGTTATGTCTGTTCATCCGCAAATAACTGGACGAACTTGTCAAAACTATCACCAGTGCGCGTCCATCATGACGAGACTGCACCTTGAAGTGGTGTGATAGCCTGCGTGCCTCCATGACCCTTCGAGCTACGCAGGTTGCCTTTCCACAGCCGTAGATCCAATCATGCCCAAAAGGTCAACGGGTAGAGGCCAAACAAAGCTCAGTCTCACAAAGCCAGCTGCTTGGGCACCTGGCTTCCCTTGACTATCCACTCCAGCTTCTGAAGAGGCCACTTTAGCAAATGAACACAACGAGGCGTAGTTTACCGGTCAAAAAGCCCCACTAGGTGGACGTAGGAGCTGGGTAATTGGGGCTTTCTCTCGACGGTGGGAGAAGTCATCTGACTTTATTGGACAGCTACCGTCCGCCCAAGCTGGGCAGCCCACAGAGGAATTAGTTTAATCAATATTGCCTCTTTTGGCTTTTGAATCATACTCCATCGATTGTCTGCCTCACGTGAAGAGTGGACCTGTGAGAACCAAACTGGTTTTAGACCTGGTCGAGGTTGTATCGATCACATCTTCACTCTTCGACAAACTCTGGAGCACCGACATTCTTTACGTAGACCCACCATCTCTATCTTCCTGGATCTAAAAGCGGCTTTCGACTCAGTCGACCGCTCTAAACTCTGGCACTGCCTTTNTTATTTCAGTATTACGATTCCTCTATACTCATAGCCGAAGCCGAGTCCGAGCTTATGGCACGTTTTCACCCGAGTTTACCACGAAAAGTGGTGTTCTACAGGGTTGCCCTCTCCTCCCTTTTTCATTCAACTTTGTTATAGATCTGATTATGGAAAAAGCCCTATCCTCGTGCGAGAATAGCGGTGTCGTTTTACTCCCAGGTGACAGACTGTCTGATCTGGAGTATACAGACGATATTGTGCTACTAAGTGAATATCCAGGTAAGACGCAAGCTTTTCTGGATAGTTTGAGTGCTAGTGTAGCCATGTTCGGTATGCGTTTTGCACC